CTTGGAGGCCAGGATGAGTTGTAACATATACACTCCTCTTCAAAACAACACTTGGTTCACTCGGATCGGATAATTAGTCTCTGAGATATGATCCCGTTTATGGACACGTGTCGAATCCGGAAAGTCGAAAATCGTGGGTTCAATTTGCGCGTGCGCAGTTCGCGACGTCCGGCCGCCACGAATGTCGGAGCGGTACTTGCACAAACTTTCATCCTTCCTCTTTAAAACGAGACTAAGATGGCGGCGCTACGTCTATTTTGAGCCGAGTTATTGAAGTTTGAAATTACTTCGACAGAAACTGTCGCTCATTTGGGCGCGATTGCCTCCCCACACCCGGCATCGATTTTAAAGACGTTTTCACGTCAAAAGGAAATGCAAAATTATTGAACTATAAATGGAATGAAAATTTAAATCAGAATACAGTGTTATTTTATGTGCAGAATTTAATCTTTGCTACAGAGGTACAATATTAATAATGCTGTAAATACAAATTGTTTATGGCAAAATGTTGTGTTCTAGTCAAAATATCTCAAAGAGATCATGACGATAAAGAAGAACGGAACGCTCTGTATAGTTACAGGTTTTCCTTTAAACATAACACCTTCACCGGGACTCGAACCCATTTCAATTTTTCGAGTTTGTGACCTTAATTCCTTTAATGTCCTCACCGCAAAAAATTGAATTCTTCTAACGTATTTTCCGAACCACAAAAAATTTTCATCGGTACTCCAACCTAGGGCAGTTCTTTGGGGACTGTGAATGTTGTTCCCGTAATATCCTTGCCGAAACAAATAACTTTGGCCGTGGCGTCGGTCTAACACAGGTTAACTTTTCTGGGTCGTGGTCTTTGTTTCTGTGATTTCATCTTCGAAACAAACCACTCTGGTCTTGGCGCTGTTCCTGGTCTCATGGAATACGGTTGCCAAGTTTGGTGCAAGTCAGTTTATCCGTTTTCGAGCCAGAAGCGAACATACACAAAATGCCAATTTTATTTTAGATTCTCGCCCACTTTCAAATGAGAATGAACATTCTTTCGGGGTTTTTTGTCCTGTGTAGTAGTAGTAGTAGTAGTAGCAACAAGCAATACACACACACACACACACATCTTCATTTGTTTTCGATGTTCGAAGTTCTGGCTGTAGCGACAGAGGGACGAAACAACTGGGGTAATATAACCAACATTTTGTACGATACGGTTTCCGCGTCTGTGTTAATGTTTTAGCGTGAAATTCTAAATATTAAAAGTTACGTTGCATGACGTAAAATCGAACGTGATAACAGCTATTACGTTTGTGAAATCATTTTTATATTTTTGTGCAACGCTTGGCAATGCTGTGTGACGTCATCGCTCAGCATTGGCTAGGAGCGCCGCAGTCCAGAAGATGGTTCCGTACGGTACCCTTATACGGTTCAAATGAGTTAGGGTTACGTGATTGAAGTGAAATGAAAAAATAAGAAATAGATTATTTTTTTGTATTTGTGTTGATTTATTTTTGATGTATTTTAACGTATTTTCGAAATGTAAGTTATGACGTCGGAATGATTTGTGCATACGTATTCCCATACTTATGCGCTCGGTGAATACCCGAGACGTACGTTGTGTGCAGCATGGATTCGTTACGGGGAATTACCCAAGTTTTGAGAAAAATCACTAAATAAGGTGGCCACAAAAATGAGTAAGTACATTGTTTAATGTAAACTGAATGTATTTGTTTAAACTGTATTTTCGTTGTTGCGTTCTAACAGTGGTGTTCGGTAATGACAAAATTTCATCTGCCCATGTGGAATAATCATGAATGAGAAATTATATATTTTAATAAATAATGTTTCACAGACACGTTTCTTGGAGCCTCGTGGCTTAAAGTAAACCGAAAAAAGGAATACAAATTTGCCTTTGTAGGTTAATGACCTTGATACGGAGTGTTTCTTTTCATTCATGTTACTGATCCGTCTGTGATCATCAGAAGTGAACCGGAATTTAGATAATATCGTTATAATTAAAGACTTTTGGTAAAAATGAGCTTTGAATGCATGTGTTATAATACTGCAGTTACCATTTCAATATTTGAAGTGTAGTACTTTGACGGATTATAACCTAGTCTTGTGCCGTTAGAAAGGGTAATCCTATATGAGTGAAACTATTGTATGTAAATCGAAGTGTTACCAGATCAATGCTACCATTTTGGTCTCACAATGAAATAAGCGAAACATTTGATTATTTGAATGTAATATAAATTGTGTAATGGAAGCAAATATAAATAAAATGTTCCTCTTTCTTTTCCAGTGGTGTCAGGTGTGACTTCTTCACTTCTCTTTGGATTTAAAACATTGACTGCATTCACTCACATTGCTTTGTATTATTAGTATTGAAGCATGCTGTTTAAAAATATTTTTTTTTTAAAAAATGTTGAATTACTAAAGGCAATGCATATTCAAATCTTGGCAATGGCAATACTGATTTTATTAACGTTGGGTTGCTAAAGGTGATGGGGATTCAGAGCTTGGCAGTTGTACTGCTTTTTCTCCAAATAATAATGGAATAGAATAGAATTTATTTACATTCTGTAGATCATTTATTGGCCCAAGTCAAGGATGTAGAACATGTCATAGCACAAGTACAATACTCGGTCCTAATCCAAATATAAGTTGCATAGTTATGACAGTCAGTGTTATTATTACCACAAAAATAATTTCATTGAAAAGTATAACCACTGTTGCTTTCATTTATGTACAATAGCTGAGAATTTGTCATTGAGGTACATTATTCTGGCTTTATATCATGATTCAGACTTCTAATAGTGGGGGGGAAGATTATTGAAGAACACTCCTTTTTTTATATATTTACTGAGTTCAGTGTTTGTGTCTTGTACTTATATTGTGGGTATCTGAGTTTTTCTGTCATCCACTGCAAATGATTGTAATGAGAGCAAGAATTTGCTGGCTTGTGGAAGAATATTAAATTTCTTAATTCCCTGTGTTTATTGCCTGCTATTCTCTAATGATTTTATTTTTTTAGTGTAAAGTACCTTCTGTTGTCTGTTGAGTTTCCTAGAAAATAATTCCATGTGACTGGATCGAGTGGAAGTAAGTAATTTTGAAAGTTTCTGTTTTTTATGAGTGATGTGAAAGTCATTCTGACCTTTGTATTGAATAATTTCTCCAGTTTTAAGTTGCTGTCAATTTGTAGGCCAAGAAATTCAGTTGTTTGTGCGTCCTCGATTGTTTTATCCTCGTACACTTTCTACTTGATTAACACAATTTGTGTTGGTAGTAAAAAAAATTCATGAAATTTGTTTTGTCAGAATTGAAAGTAATTTTTTTCAAATCCATTTGTCTGGTGGTGAAAATGGGTGTATCTTGGTGATACAGATCTGTAGAAAGTTAAGGACAGTTGATGATTTTAAATACTTGTTGAAACGAATGCAACTTCGCAGGTGGAGTGTCGCTGATGTGATTCAAGACCTTGTGTATAATTCACTATGCATATAACTTGCAGAAAGTTACATTTGTGTGTGTGTGTGTCTGTGTGTGTGTGTGTGTATATATATGTATATATATATATATATAAGATGGTGGCTAATTGCAACATAAAACAGAGGAACTTCTCACATAATTTTACTGTGTGGTGACTATGTATTCCTGCTTTTGAATTTGGTTTTACAGTTTCTGTAAAGTAATTTAACATTTCTGATGGGCCCATTCCTTCTTAGTTCTCTTCCTGCCATTCTGTATAATTCCTCTAATTTCCAGCATTTTGACTTCGGCCCTGAAGATGGAGACGGTATGTTTCTCTGAAACGTCGGCATCTGCCGAACAATCCACATCGTGTCAGAACTCAAAAGAGCATCATATCTGATCTCCTTCAGCTGTCGCTTGTTTTATGTTTTATTTATGCTAAATATATTGAACCTTAGATATGAAGCTATTAATATTTCAGATTGAAGAAAGCGCTTCATTAGTTATGTTTTGGCATGAAGGGGAATCATGTATCTTGCTTGTCTAGTGAAACACTACAATTCATGTTTCAGGAAGTAAATTTTCCTCCTTCCATTTGTGGTTTTTGTCAGTTCAGAATGGAATCACAGAGGAATCATAAATGGATGTTTCTCTGAATATATTTCAGAATTGGCCGCCCTGGACTGAGGTTGTTAACTTCGACCAGATCGCTTGACCCCCAGCAAGGTTTGGGCAGTCTTGGCTGATATTCCGTGTCCCCCCCCTTCTTCCTCCAGATTTCCTGTATGTCGCATCTTCACAATCTATTCCTGGAAGATTTATTTTGATATTAGTCTTGCATCTTTTCCTAATTATTTTTCATTATAGACCACTTACATCTATTGATCGTACGGTCTGGGACATGGGCCTTGTTCACTTGGACACTGCGACTGTGGATTTGAATCCCACTCGAGGCGTTTGTCCGTTCTGTGACGTGCTGTCATGTACAGGCAGGGGCTTTGTGATGGGCCGAGCCCTACCAGCGTCTAAATAGATTAAGAACCCATCGTCGTGTGGGGAGGCCAAGGTCATTTTAGGACTGCAGAGCTACAGATAACAACAACTACTACTTACAATGCCTGAGATTTTCAAATGATTTCTTCCGTTGTAAAATTTTGAACCATTCTTAGTATTTACGCTGTTTGTGCTACTTATGCTGTCCATATCATCCTTCATTTAATCACCCAAACAGTATTAGAAAAAGAGTATGAGAAACTCTTTGTTATTTTTTAATTTGTTCTCCTACTTTCTCTGTCTTGGACTTTTACTATCTTCAGAAGTTTGTTTTTTTAAATGCACTTCTCAGTCTGTGTACTTCCCCCTAAATGAATGTCTTCTGCCTAAAGACTTGGAGGTTGAAGAAATATGCATGTACTTTCTTTGTGAATCTCAGAGCCATTGAAGAAGCTTGCATACACTTATTTGCAAATATCTGATCCAGGCTTCTCATCTGTTGTGCCACTCTACCTCACCCCTCTCTGCACCTGTTGTAGTCCAATGATATTAATTGTTTTCTGCGTTCATATTTTTACAATGCCCGTAGTTCTGGTCTTGTTTCATTTTCATTCTGCCGTTCTGTATTCGGTAATTCCATAATGCCAGATCACCGTGGTGTTTCCGAGTGGTACTTTATTATTTCCAAATCTGTGGCAGCAGGTGAATTATTAAGCAGTAACTAACCTGCCATCGCAATTTCAAAGTTATTTGTGTATGGAAATTTGAAGTAACCTGTGTGAGGTTTTGAAATTTTTGTGGTGGTGAGAATGTGGATTATAATCTTCGGGTATTGTTGCCAAGTAGTATTTTGAAGGAACATATTGTCTCCATTTTGAGGGTAGAAGATTGTGACACATTCCACTGATCCACCTATAAAACAATATAGCATTACAACCCAGTAGACCGCAGTCTTAGTCTGTGATTAAGATGTATTTTGTATTTATTTAGGATTAAATGTTGATGAGTCGCACAACGTATAATTTCGGCATAGTTTTATCATAGAACCTTGTTTTTGTGTGTGTGTGTGTGTGGGGGGGGGGAGGTTATTTAATGATTTCAGCACCTGAAGACTATACAGATTTAAATTTAGGATGATTAATGAACTGTAAAGAATATGGAAGCATTTATGGGCAAATTTATGGCACTGCATAGCATTTGCCAGGATGGACTCTGGAAAAGCACGAAAAATGTCTGTTAGGATAGCCGGTGTCTGGGCCAAGAATCGAACCTGATGCCTCCCATGTTGCATTTTTAATTTAAGGATTTGTTTTCCTGAGACTTTGAATGAGTGTGGGAGAGTATTTTGAGTCTGTCGCATTTTCAAATAGATTGACCATGTCTATTGCCGCCGTTCTTGTTCATGAGACATGCCGCATCGCAAGGATCATTCAAGATTTATATTTAATATATATATCATAAAGGAAGGTGGCCATTTTGTAAATGTGTATATTTCAATGCTACTGAAGTATTGATAGAGTAAATTTAGTAAAAGGTAACAAGAAATAAGTTATTGCATTTACACAACAACACACTGTAGTCCAGAAATTCCTTATGGCGGTGTTGTACATCACATTACGCTGTTCTGACTCCAGCGTACCGCTTATTAGTATGCTAATTTTTTATCTTAATGATGCACAGGATTAGATTGATTCTGCATTGTGCTATAAGATACTTTTTTCTGTTTGTTACAGGTGTATTATTATTATTATGGTGATGTTGGCTGCATTGCATTTTGAGGAGCCATGCAGCATGTAAAGTGTGCTGCCGAAGAAGAAGAAGAAGAAGTTGCGCTGCATGGAAGACCTATACTCCGACAATACCGTAATAAACGAACACGAAACGAGCATTGTGAAATATACACTCCTGCTGCACACACAGACAAGAAAGAAGCTCAGTCCTCAATATTTCATGTGTTGCCTGCTCATTTTAAAGATTCATGTTCAGTACTACCACTTGAACCCATACAATTGAAATCCTCACCGGACTCAGAACCATCAACTTCTGAGCCACAAGTGATTGTGCGCAAATTTACACTCCCACCATTCAGAAGTGCGTATGCTTTGCCAGAGCTATTAACTTCTGAGCCACAAGTGATTGTGCGCAAATTCACTCTCCCATCGTTGAGTGGTGCGTATGCTTTGCCCAAGAGATCAAAGAAGGACGTTAATTTTGGGAAGCCAAAACAGCGTTGGAAACAGTTATGTAACTTGCAGCACGAGATGACGACTACGTTGCCGGTGAGAAGCGTAGTGAAGATGATGGGCCCTTCCACGCCTCTAACTCAAGAATATTGTCCTGGTACACTGCAAAGTTGTGCTGCTGGTAAGCTGGATGTTGTGAATAGCTCTCTACAGAAATGGCTGACTGTTAAGGAGGTTAATTTGGATTCTTCTAACCCTAGCAAAGATGAGGGTTCTGTATCTTCCGCATCGTCTGTCAAAATGAAAACTGTTACACCACCAAAAGGTGCGTTAGGTTCAAAAATTGAAGTCGGCGTGGAAGAAAGATTAGGAACGGCAGAAGATGTACCAGAAGTAGCTGCTGTGACAGAAGTTTCAAGTACAGGAGGCACTGTTACAGTAGGGGCAATCGATGCAGTTCACAGTAACGTGGGGATTGTCGGGGGGAAGTTTTTGATATTCCAGCCGTTGTCTCAGACGAAACCCGTCGTCCAGCAGGAAGGCAGCAATTCAAAAGCGAATACCATAGTTTTGAAGAGTCCTCAGGATGTAATTAAAGATGCCAAGAATGCAAAAAATGTAATAAAACCATTTGTGGGGCAGGCGGAAGTGATGAGCGATTCGTTGAAAACTGTGCTTGTGCAGGGAAGTGTGAAACCGAGCTTCGAACTTAGCAGAAAGCAGCGTGGTATTGTGCAGGAGAATTTGAAACCTAACTCCGAGCCGACCACGAGAGAGCAGAATGTCGTGTGGGGAAGTCTGAAGCACAAGTCTTCATCTAATATAAAGGAGCGTAATGTTGTTCGAGGAAACTCGAAACATCGCTCTGAAGTTCCTAAGAATGGGGAGAATGATAACTTGAAGATTGACGCTGAACCAGCACTTGAGGAGAACGCTACTCATGATCACGATATTTCACGTGGAAATCTGAAGACTATTTCCGAATGTGCTAGTAAAGAACAGAACATTGTCGCAGTTCATCCAATACCGCAGGAGACCAACAATTTGGGTGTGGCACGAGAGTCCTTACAAGATGCCCTTACTTTCTCACTGCAGACGACAGGAATCGTTGCTCCGCAGCAGACGTCTGCACAGAATAAGAACAGCGAATGTGTCGAACCTCCTGATAAACCGGCAGAAGATGAAAATGTGGAATTGAAACAGCTGAAGCAACTCCAGCATGAGATTTTGATGATGAAGAGGAGACAGAACATCGCTATGCAGGTGGATCGCAAAGTGCTACGTGCCAAGGACGTCAAATTGGTTCAAGAATTTCACCTTCCTGCGCGGAGGGTACTCTTGTCTGAGACGGGTACGCAGACCAACCTGTTCTGTCTCGTCGAGCCCGGACGTATGGTCGAAATGATGATCAGTGCTGACAAGACTGGTGAGTACTGTTTGTGAGATTTTACTTCTTATTCCGTGTTTGACGTGTTGTACCGAGTAGTCTCTTGCATCAAACGTATTTCTTAACGCGTCCATTGACGCGGACATGACTGTGTTGTGACATAAGGAGAGATGCAGATGTCTTTAGAGATTAATTTGAGTTTTAAAGAGAAAGAATGCAATGTTATTGTCCGCACAGGAAGAAGTTCTGCATTTATATTCAGGTTTTGACACTTACCTGAATATTGACTAATGTAGAGCTATGTAACTTGAAGATTTTGCAGCCCGAGAGTTGACGTAATGCAATTTCTGAAGCCATCAATTTCATGATTCTTTCAGAGGGGCCCGACTGGGTGAGAACCTCCCCCTTACACCACAAATTGATGGTAATCTACTTTTTTAAAATGCTGTGTTTGGAAAAGTACCTAGACAACGGAATAATAGTCTCGTTTACAAAAATTAATGATTATTACAGAAGTATACAAAAGAATTGTTTCAATTGAACCATGCCTGCTCTCGGTAGAGCGTTCAATGATGCTTTAGGTGGTGCCATCTGGCGAATATGGAAGGCAGCATTAATGGCCATATTTAAGGCATTATCCTAGCTTCTGTCAAGAGGGGCTGAGGAAAATCAAGAAATGGTCAGTCAGCATAGTGTGTGACTGTACGCTGATATTTGAACTATATATTTCCTGAATATAAAGAAGTGGCGACGACTTGTCTGCAATCTTAGGTGTTTTTGATGTTTTCTCCCCCCCCACCCCCCAAGTTTAATAAAACAAGTATTTTGTCTTAGTAATGTTTTTTTAGATAGCTTTGTGAAGTGTTACGTCTATTTTTACATCACTGATCTTCAGGAGTAGAGAAATTTTTATGGATACTCATATGATATCAGTGAAAGTTATAAAACTTTAGTTCATATTCACAAAATGTAATATTTTTAAGTCGCCCGTGCCCAGATATGTGTACATGTAAGCCTAATTCGCCATTTAAGTAGAAACATCTCAGCTCTCATGCTTTTATATCTTTTGTTAATCCAGATTTTTTTTTTTTTTTCCTTTTCTAGTCTTTTGATGTTTATTTTGTGGTCTCGTGAGTTTAATTCTGGATTCACTCCCCAGTTTCATTTCCAGACGAAGAGTTTGGAAATCCAACAGACGTAATAGTAATGTTAGTTTACCTCTGAAATATACCAACATTAATTCAGTCCTACTGATAAATCATACAGTTTATTTAAAATCTGAGATCTTAGGCTCCCACGGTGTTGAGTATTAAGATGATAGCCTTGTGGGATATTGCATCTTGTGGTCTCCTAGAAATTTACCGTGTTTCAAAGCTTCATACAGCCTCCATCGTCAGGGTAGTGATTGGTGGTGATGATGATGAAGGCAGTATGTACTTGAAACACGTCCGTTAACTTTTATGAGACTACCCAATTCGGTACAAAAAAAAATATGTGTTTACAACGTAATAATATTACAGCTGTGATCTGGTAATTCGTACTGATAATGAGTGTTATGCGCGTATTGGCTAGACACTGAAATAGTGGGCAAGGTTTCGTCAGGCTTTTTATCACCGCCTGCCAATTTCAAAATGGTGCCCATTTTGTCGTAAATTAGAACTCCTTTACCTGTTCTCATCAGCTGTTACTCGTGTTTGGATTATGATGAATAATTTATGGTCATTCTGTACTTGGCTGTGGCAACACCGCCACGAGCCCTTTGGGAAGCGGTCCTCGACCTCTTGAGTCTCCCCTCGCCTTATTTCAAGCTGTTATAACTGGCCCTGAGCTACTCCGCCCGCCTTGACGTCTTCCTGTTCGTGTGGATTTCAGTAATTTCAGATGCTAAAGACGTAGGTGACATGGTTGTTCATGTTAATTTACTTAAGAACAAAATATTTCTCTATTTCCTGTTTTCCCCTGCTCTGTCCAGTTAATTTACTTAAGAACAAAATATTTCCTGTTTTCCCCTGCTCTGTCCGTCGTGGAGTTTGAAAATATATTTCTCGACGACAAATGTTTTGGTTTCAAAATTACAAATCTGAAAGCTGAATGCTTAATTCTGTCTTGTGTGAAGTTACACTGTGTGATGTTTGGGAAATATTGGGTTTCTTGCACAATTATAAAATCTGTCGAAAATGTGTGAAATAGGGATCCCGCGTAGAAGAATTAGTCCTTAGGTTCAACAAATGTATGTAAAATGTGTGGATTTAAAAAATATTATGATATGAAAAATTGCAGGAAGTCTTCATATTCCGGAGAACCGGATTCAATTTTTTTTGATTTTCCTTCGACAAATACCAGGATATAATTGGCACATCATTACATAAGCCACAGAATAAAATTAACTCAGCTTCTCGTAAGACATAAAACCTTTCGTATTGCAGATCTTGTTTTAATATAGAATGAAAGCAAATGATCTTACGGTTTATTTGTAGCACATAACCTCAACGTTTTGCACCGTTGCCATGTTTGTAATGGCTGACTTGCAAATACTATTTCTTGTATTTGCAAACTTGTCCTTGGGCAATCCCAACCCCTCATTTCACATGCCTATTACAGGTAGCTCGTTTGGTTATCGCTGTCAAACTGCAAACTAAAGGATAAAAAAAAAGTTCTCGGACTGACGTCATAAGGTTTTACAGGTCTTGTAAGTCTGCTTTCTTTCCGGCTAAAGAATAAGGGAAATTTCATGCGGTTGAGAAATCCTTGTCAGCATTGAAGCTATTCACATTTGATGTTTTGAAATACGAGCCCCAAGACTTTGACCCACAAACGTCGAAACACACATTTGTAGAATCGTTCGCCGTCTTTGCAGTGTACAGTACAATGTTAGGTTATGTTACATTGGGTTTACGTCTAGAGTAGCAGCCCAGACTAGTAACGTAGTCTCGATTGTCCGACATGCAGTGCGAATTCCCATTTCTCACCCCGAGGACAAGAGACTGCCCTGGCTCTATCTATGACTTACTCAGGTATCTCACGGCCCCCATCAACGTTAGGCACATACAGTGTTGCCCATTTTCTAACCACGTTGTGGCGTAGATTGGAATTTCCCCATTCATCGAGGTCAGGACCAAAAGACATTTCCTGCACTATTCAGCTGTGTTAATTCAATATTTGCTGGTGTATAATGTAGTGCTTGAATTTGGAAGTGTCTATTTGTGCTGTAAATCGTAAATACTGCATCTGATATACAGGGTGACCCAAAAAAAATATGGCGGTTGTCTTGAACACCTACGCTAGTTTCGAAAATTGCCAGTGCTGACGTAATGATTTAATTTATTAAAATAGTTTTATTTCATTCATTGAATATTTATATACTTTTTTGGGGGGGGATTTCAATATTATGCAAACGAGATGCAAGATTGGAATGGAAATACATTTCTTGGTGTCAAGTTTTAACGGAGAACAGTCACTGTGACATGATTGACTGAGGAAAAGTCCGTTCACAGAGAAGGCTATACAAATTTCCAACATTATAAGAGACAGTCGGATGTAATTTTAGGGATATTTGGTCCTGTGGAAGTTTTTGAGATGGCAGCATGTGTACAAAGCCACGTGTTGAGAAGTGGCTTGTCTTCACGTGACTATCGCAAATTTCGTAAACATAACAGGAACGGGTGTACCAGTAGGCATTTGCGAACTCCTCTTCGCTTTAATGAAAGTATTTGTGAGTGTTGTGGTTACGTTTGTCATCGATTTATTGTGGGATTTAACGACCGAAGGAATTTTGTAAATTAAGTCTCCCAGACTGGTTTATCCGCCGTGTGCCAGTGAGGGGTTCTGCATCCAACAGTTCTTTCTTCGCGTAACGAAACTGACTCCACCCCCGGATACGCCTTGGAGAAACGTGCAGCTCTACGGAGTTTCACGATTTTATGGATGTTCAATGAAGGCTCTACACCAAGTTTTAGTTAGAACTTTCTCCCTTGATTTCCCACACAGCACATGTTAACGTTCTAGTCGGACTGATAATGCAGTTAATTTAATTGTATGGGTGCGAAACATGGTCTCTCACTCAGAGGTAGAAACATAGATTGAATGACAGGGTCCGGTGGAGGGCTTTGGTTAATTCGGTGATGAACCTTCGGGTTCTGTAAGCCATCTGTTTGGTTGGGTCCACTATTTGGGAAGCCTGAGGGGAAGAGACCTCTGGGGAGACCTAGACGTAGATGGGAGGATACTCTCAGGCGGGATCTATGGGAGATAGGAGTTGAAGGAGACTGGATTTTGTTGGCCCAGGACAGGGTCCGGTGGAGGGCTTTGGTTAATTCGGTGATGAACCTTCGGGTTCCGTAAGCCATCTGGTTGGTTGGGTCCACTATTTGGGAAGCCTGAGGGGAAGAGACCTCTGGGGAGACCTAGACGTAGATGGGAGGATAATCTCATACGGGATCTATGGGAGATAGGAGTTGAAGGAGACTGGATTTTGTTGGCCCAGGACAGGGTCCGGTGGAGGGCTTTGGTTAGTTCGGTGATGAACCTTCGGGTTCCGTAAGCCATCTAGTTGGTTAGATTGTTCCGTGTTCAACGACACCAACAAATCGACCGAGCTGTTCTGTGTTCAAAATTTAAACAAATGATTGAAATTTGTTATGGCATGTAACTTATATTTCATTCTGCATGCAAATGAGTGGGCCTGTGTTAATTTGGCTGTGTTCTTCCATATTTTTTTTGTAGTGCATTGCTTTATTCTGTTTTTGTGCTGAAACTTTCGGGTCCGATCCTGATTTTTATTTAAGATATAACAAATTCTAATGCAGGATCGGGTACATTATACTAAGCTTTAAGCTCTGTTTCCAAGAGTGTGCTGATGCATACTTTTTATCTCACTATATAATATATGTAACACGTATTAAAACAAAATGTGTTTCGGAAATAGCTGCTGCATTGTGTACCTCAGGGCAAGGTTTATCTCGGGTATATGGAAGTAAATACACTATAAAGTGGTGAATAGATGGAATAATAATAATATTAATTGATTTTTTTTAAAAAAA